TGGCCTCTTGCATGCCTGACTGGGCCGGATGGGGAGGGGCGCGGGGGGAGGGTGGGGAGCGGGAGCGGGAGCCTGGGTCCCTGGATGACTGCGGGGAGCACCTCACCTGCAGGAACACCCTTTGGGCTTCACCTGGGCCGGAAACACACACCTATGGGCCCACACCCCAGACACTGAGGTTTAGGCGTTACATAGGTCATTCGTGTGCGAGTGTAACACAGAAAAACATACTGTTATCTTTTTCAAACTGCTGTGTTCCTCCTGTTTAGAGAAAAAACAAGATAGAACGAGTCCTCTGGTGGCTCACTCTCCCCACCTGGCCAGGAGCGGCTGCTCCCTCGCCCTCGAGGCTGCACCTGGCGCCTCCACACCCCGCCCCTGGATGGTGATTTGCAAAGGACCTTCTCTGATCTCCCCCAAACCCGGCAAACTGGCCCTGCCCCAAAGCCACCTATGACTCTCCCCCCCCACCCCGCCCCACCTGCTCTCCTCCCAATGAGCCGCCTCCCTTCACCCAGGTAAGCAGGCTCGCACTTGTTGGCACCTCCCTCCGTCCTGCCCACACCCCCCACCGTCAGCCTCTCGCCAAGTCCTGTTGGTCTTACCTCCTGAAGGCCTAACCAGTTCACCACCTCCGTCCCCCACCCTCACCCCCATCCTCTCCCACCTGGGCCAGTCCCTAAGCTCCTGGTGGTGCACCCACCTGGTCCTCCGGCCCCTCCAAGCCATTCCCTACCCTCAGCTGCATGATCTTTGCAAAATATGGGTTTAACTAACGTCACCTGCTCTCCCGCACAGACCATTTCTAAGCTTCATCGTGTTCTTACAAAATGACGGCAGCTCCCGAGGCCTGTAGGCCAGGCCCAGTCTGCCCCCAGCCCACCCCGACTCACCGGCCCGTCCTGCTCAGCCCCTACCTGAGAACGCCCTGCCTCCTCTCCTCTCTTGTCCTCAAGGAACGCCTGCCCCTCCCAACAAGGCACATCCCATTAAAACCGTCACAGCGCCCATGCCCCCCTCGGAGCACTTTCTGGGGTGTAACTCACGGCAGGGTGTCTAATCGCTTGTGTGTCCTCCACTCAGCCCACCTCACCTCTACCCCAGGGCCTTTGCACCTGCTCCTCCCGTTGCCTGGCATGACGGCCCCCGGGTGTCAGCATGGCTAGCCCCTCACCTCCTCCCACTCTTTCTTCAGATGTCACCGTCCAGGGGAGGACTCACCCACAACCCTATTTTACAAAAACCGCGGCGACACCGTCTCCAGCCCCACACTGCTGAGCACCTTCTCTGGGGAGCTGCTCTCTTCCGGCATCTCACTTATTGATGGAGTTTCTCTTTTCATTTATTGTTAATATTTTGTTAACCCTCATCCAAGGATATTTTTTCCATTGATTTTTTTTCTTAAAGAGAGAGTGGAGGGGAAGGAGAGAGAGAGAGAGAGAGAGAGAGAGAGAGAGAGAGAGAGAGAGAAGCATTGATGTGAGAGAGAGATCAACTGGTTGCTTCCCACAGGCACCCAGACCCAGACGGGGATTGAACCCGCAGGCAGGTGTGTGCCCCTGATCAGGAAGCTCCAACCACTGAGCCACACTGGCTCTTTAATGTGTCTCTTTCTCCCTAGGGTGTCAGGCACCAGGGCAGGAACTTTTGTCTGATTGCTCATCACCCACACCCCAGTCCCCCGAATAGTGACTCGCCCAGTGGCCCTGACGCACCTGTGAAGCGAATAAGTGACTGTGGTAGAATATTCTAGGCAGGCCACCTGGTCCCTCCTGACGCGGCCGTGCCCAGGGCACACAGTGCTGTTAGGGATCCACGAAACCAGTTCATTGCTTTCAAAATCAGAAGGAAAAAAACGAGACCTCGAAGACCAGGGGAAAATGTTTTAACATATAGAGTCGATATATTCATCTATAAACCACACAGTCATAAAATACATTTTTACTCTTTTTTTAGTAGAGAAGGGCTTGCGTGGTATGAGCGCCTCCGGCCCTCCACCCCCGGGGAAGTCACGGCGCCTG